AGTATTTTGCTTGTTCTACTTGTTTTGGTGTGCCCCCATTCCCTCCCTAAGGTAAAAACATCCCTAGGGGCCATAACTTGCTGTTAGCAAACAAGATCTTGCAAAGAGTGAAGTTACACATGGCACCACCTGCACTGGTGTATAAATAGCTCAAATATTTTCCTCACTTTCCTGTAACTTTCTGTAAATTGCTGGTCAGGAGTAACAAGTGGAGAAATTTCGGATAAGAGAGAGAAAGTTGTGTTTACTATTGCCTGGAGTTTCTGTTGGTCTGGCCACGGAAATGGAGTACTCAAAATCCTCAGGACACTCAGTTTATACCAGATTTATCCTAAAACTGCAGGATTTCTAGGCCCTTGGGATTCTTATCAATTAAAACATACTTTTTCACGCACAGAAGATGCAAAAAAGTGCATCTCCTGCAGTATGCAGACAGAGCCAGTCCTGTCTCTTGATTCCTTCTGCCTTCTGCCTGAAGAGCAGCAGACAATCGAGTTCCGTCTTCAGTAGCTACGGCCTTAACCAACTGTGCAGTCTGTCCATTCATCCACAGAGGAGGAAAAATAGCATGGAATAACTCCTCTCCTTTGTGCTAACAGAGGAGGGTACAGCTTCCTCACTCCAACCCCACCGAGGCAAAGCAGTCAGCAGTGCACGCCAGAGCCTCTGTCTCTTCCCGTCTCCTGATGTGCAGCTGGATCACTCTCCTTCTAGCCCCAGGATGGCTTTCAGCACAGTCACAGAAGGGTCAGACTCACAGCTTGAGGACCCATCAGAAGAGGCTTTCACTCTTCTGCACCACACCCCTATACACATGCAATTTCACACATGCCAAAGAGACACCATGGATTAGGGAGTTGCACAGAGAGGAGACCACACCCGTTTGCCTGCCTGCCTGCAGGTTGACACCAGTAGGGAGGTAATTCACCTCAGAGTTTCCAGAGAGATGACAGAATATGGCCCTAGGCTCCTGCTGCTTCTTTCAGCCTAATTCTTCAAATCCATAGGAACGCAAGAAACATTCCCAGCCAAGTGCTGCATATCTTGAAGGTGGAGAAGCCACAGCCTTCTGCTTCATTTCATTTTAAAGATCAAGCCCAAGGTCACTCCCATAGAAGTAGTGGAAGCCATCTGGCTGGCTTGGCTTTCTCTCCAAAGAAGACCAAATGAGAGTTGGTCCCAGGTGAGGATGAGCCCTGACAGTTCCTGCATTTTGGTTCTCCTGCAGCCCACAAAGCTCTCACTGCCTTGCCTGAATTTTAACCCCTTTGGAACCAAATCTACAGATGATCTCTGTCAATCCAAAACAGCGCTTATTCACCATGTGAACAACAAATGCCTGGCATGGTTAACAGCACTTAGGTGCAAAGGTCAGATAGATGTAGCTGCATGTTACACATTTTTAGTCTGAATAGCACAATTTATCCTTTGACTCCATTTTGCTGTCATGTGGATATCAATTTGCAATCATTTGGTCTGTCCTCCTTTGGTGGCTTCCGTGAGAAGAATCTAGAAGCTGCCCCCCGTTAGAGAACGGCTCCACTGCTGGCCAGAGCCAAGCCAAGAAACGATGTCGCTTGTTCCTCTGGGAGAGCATATTGAAGAAAGGAGGACAAAACTAACAAAAAAAGCTGTTTCCCAGGGAGAAAGAGAGAGAGAAGCAGCCCTGCAGCCCCCCAGGTGAGTGCAGCAGGAGGGCAGGAGGCAGCAGCAGTTCCCTGCGGGCTGTGCAGGGAGAGGCCCCCGGTGGAGGCAGGCTGTCCCCCTGCAGCCCATGGAGCAGATCTCCACGCTGCAGCCCCCCCGTGGGTGGAGGAGCCCCCGGTGGAGCAGGTGGGATGTGGCCTGGAGGGGCTGCGGCCCATGGAGAGCCCCCGCAGGGCAGGAGCAGGCCCCGGGCCGCAGCTGCAGCCCCCCGTGGAGAGGAGCCCCCGCAGGAGCAGGGGGTCTGGGGGGAGCTGCCGCCCAGCCGTGGGGGACCCGTGCTGAGCAGTTTGCTCCTGGGGGATGGATGGATGGAGCCCGTGGGACGGAGCCGTGTGGGAGCAGTGCTTGAGGAGCTGCTGCCTGTGGAGCCCTGCAGGATCAGCTGGGGAAGGACGGCATCCCGTGGGAGGGACCCCACGGGAGCAGGGGCAGGGAGGGACCCTGAGGGTCACTCTGCTGAGTCTGCTTTGCCCGTCACCATACTTGTTGAGCCATCGCCCTGTCCTTATCTCAGCCCTGGAGCCCTTGGCATCGTATTTTCTCCCCCTTTCCCTTTGAGGAGGGGGAGTGAGAGAGCGGCCGTGCTGGAACTCGGCTGCCCACCCGCTTCGAACCACCGCAGTTGCAAAGTCCTGGGAAAGATTTCTTTCAAGAAATTAAACAAGGCGTTTAACAAAGAAATGCAGAGTTTCCTTTTGAAGGCTTCCTGGAGATTGGGCTTCTTTCCTATTCCCAGCTCAGAGGAAGGGAATTGTTGATTTCACTTCCTTTTTTCTTACATGGAAATCAAAGGTGAACTGCTCTACAAGGACGGGCAACGTCTCAGAATCAAGCTCTTTTGCTCTGTAGTCCTTTCTCAAGGAAAAGATTGATCACACACCTTCCTTCCACAGACGTAGGGGAGCAGAGAATAATTTGGGAACTACTCTATTCAAGTCAGTTTGGGCATAGTGGTACTTCCCTAGCTGTTTCTGAGACAGACGCATTAGCAACAGAGAGTGTTGTGCCGTCACTGGGAGGCGCCTGCGGTGATGACTTCAGAAACAGAAGGGAATTGTGTCACCACAGCACTGTGGCAACAGCTGCCTCCGTGCACGTTTAGCTGGGAGGCACAGAGAAGGGTGCTGGATGCGATGAAACCACGTGAGGATTTGTGCATCTCCCCTTGAGGTGCACAGAGAGGGACCATGCCCTTCTGTAAGTGTTTTGATGCTTGGCTGAGGAAAAAATGGGGTTTTGTTGTGAATGCTTCCTTGTAGTATTCTGTAGTTTGTGTCAAGTCCTTACAGAAGCCTCAAGGTTGGTACTTTGCTCAATGATGGAGCTGCACAGAGTGAGAACAGACCCAATGTACGGCTGAGGGCCTCTGCACGCTCTCTTCTTCCTACAGACGATCAACAAATAAGGGGAGACAGAGAAGAGTGTGCTGTGGTCCTCCCTAGACCGCAAGTACTAAAGCATAAACAAGAGGCTTAAGAGTCCCCCTGTCACGTTAAAATTCAGGACAGCAATGGACTTCCTCACACGGGCTGGCCTCGTCGTGTCGACTAGTGTCTCAGGCTGTGGCGTATGAAGATGCACTCCATCTGCTTTCAGGGTAGCAATGGCAGTGGGCAAGCTGCCTGACCTTAACATTTGTCATTTCATTTTTCACCTGAGTTTTGGTGGTTCTCCACGACTCATTCTTGGTCTAGAAAAAAAAAAAAAAAAAAAGTGAATTTGGATCAAAATAAAAGGATAAAAGGATTTCCTTTCCATTAATTACATGTTCTTAACTTAACTAAAAAAAGTGAACTGCGATGAAAATAAAAGGATTTCCTTTCCATTCATTACATGTTCTTACCTTTGGAACAGATTTGGTTATTGACTTAGAAGGCAAATATCTGGCCAGACTGCAAGACTGTGCTCGCAGCGTGGGACAGCTCTCGTAAAGGTGAGTCAGGGCAGTTTCTGGAAAACAAGACATCAGATCTCCAAAACACTTTCTTTGTGCTAATGTAGGAAGGGCGAGTAAGTGTAAAGGTAAGAGCCCAGATACCGTAAGAAGCAGAAAGTGTGAAGGAAACTTCCTTCTGGCTGATACAGCTCCATATCTATTGTCAAGTATGAAGAGAGCAGTGCTAAGTTTCTTGGGGAGAGGTAAAAAAGAAGAGACTGGGAGATTGTAAAAGGAAAAAGTGGGATTCCCTATTTCAGGAAATCCTAGGAACTGGAAATAGAGATTGGAAGAGTGCTTTAAGCCAAGACAGACACGTTTTAAAACTAAAACCTAGGAGTTGAATGAACCAAGAAATGAATCCATTTTGATTCTGCAGTTGTGTCCAGTGTTATCTTGGGAAATATGGTTTCCACATAAAACGTATCTGGGGCTTGAAGTTCTCCTAAGGCCCTTCTCTGTGTATTCCCTACTGTTTGGTAAGCGCTGAGGTCACACTGCAGACAGCAGCACGTCCTCTCCCCACTACTTAGCTGTCTGTTCTCACAACACGTCTAGGAACAGAATGGCTTGGACACAACTGCGCCTAGGACCGAGTTCATTCAAGCTGGTGGACGAGGTAAAAGCTCTGGACAAGCGAAGGGGAGGGAGGGATGGGTGGACATACAATATGATCTCTTTAATCTCATTTCTCTAAGAATCCTGGCTGAGAAAACAAAACAAAACAGAATCAAAAAGAACAGAACAGAACAGAACAAATGAAGCAAGCAGCTAGCTTGCTGGAGACATTGTCTGGGAAGCAGTGAAAACACTTGCAAACAAAAACACGTCAAAGACTAACTCTTTGAGCTTAATTCTAATCCAACAGCATAACCTCAAAGTCCTGTTTCTGTTCATAACAGGCTGGTACAGTAACATGTCCCATTGGATGACTTTGCAGCATAGATGTCAGGAATGCAGCTTGGGATCCCCTCCTTCTACTCAGAGTTCACTTTGAAGGGATGAGCAAGTCATTCTTCCTGGGTTGACGGAAATCTAAAGTCTGTTTTCTAACACTCTTGCAGACGCTTCTCTGTCCATCGGCCTGTCCTGCCAACTCTGGTGTGAGCGTGAAGTTGTGGCAAGAGGGATTTCCCATTGCTATTTGAGCTGGTGATGGACACCAGCTTTCCTCGGAAATGGCTGATGTTGCTGAGGAGGCAGCAGTATCAAAGCCCTTGCTGATGAAGGTACAACAAGCTGGGGAGGCTTTGGCATTTCTGCACAACGCTGCTCCCTGACTGTCACTCCAGACTCAGATTCGGAAAGAAGCAAAGCAAGCGAGAGGAAAACTGGATGTCCTGGTAATTTTCTTTTTCTTTTCTTTCTTCATTCTTCACTTGTAAGAAAATCTAAATCTTAACCCTTTGTTTGAAAACACGGCTTTATGGAAATGCTTCTGGGTGTGCTCCTTCCCCTTGTGTGGAACCTGCTTCACCTCGCTTCAGCTCTAGGACACCTATGCTCCAATTTATGCTTCCCATGATAAAGCGGCGTTCTTTCGCTATTCTTTTCTGTGATGCTTGCAGGCGAGGTTGAAAAGAGTTGTCAGTAGGATTCTTCGTTTCCTTTGCAGGATCCAAAGCTCCGTATTACCGTGGATCTTCTCCTCTGATCTGGAAAGCTTCACAGGCCAAAAGAGAATTGAGATGAAGAAGGAAATAGAGAATGCTGACCAATATTGCCAAGTGCCACCCGTAAGTTTTGGGAAAGAATCCGGTGCATTTCTGTAGTGGTAGAAAGTTCATAAAATCATCGTCGTGCACTTGAAGGCAAGCAATGCTGTAAAAATGAAGAACGCAAGGCCCTGCTTAAGGACAATCTTCAGGCTGCTTCTAGATCAACAGCTTATTTGCTTCTTCCACAACCTCATCTCCGCTTGCTTAGAAGTTGTGAAGGTCGGAAGCACACTCCGCCTTTTTCATCCCCTCTGCGTATCTTTTCCCTGACAGCAACTTCTGTCTTGGCTCTTCACATCCAGCCAGAGCAGTTGCTTTGCCTCCGCAACCTGCAGGCTGACCTCTCGTGTGTACCTGTGCTGGACTGAGGGTAATGCTTGTAACGCACACAGATGCTGCATTCACTGTGACTTTTAGAAAAGAGAGCAAGAAGCTAACCTGCACAGCAGACTCTTAGGTTTCTGTATCTCTCTCTCTCTCTCTCTCTCTCATATATATTTCAGTACTTATTTACTTCTTTAAAGATACCTTCAATAGAATAGATCCTTTAAGAAAGCTTACTTGTTCTTCCCCTTTCCTTGTTTTTAACGTTTGCTTTTCTAACCAATCCTTAATGTTACAACATTGGATTGATGCAGTACTCAGTCCTTAGAAGTTCTCAAAGCACATCAGTGATTTCTCTATTTCTCAACCTTTCCATCTTCATTGAGATCTCTCATCTGAATTTAGGTATGAGGTGAGAAGAACACTGCAACCAGCTGAAGCCGTATCAGACACATGCTTCTGCTAGGAAGTCATTCCGAGGGATTCCACGGTGTACTTTAGACAGGTTTGCTCTGGTCCTCTGGACTCAGCATCCCCAAGGGATATTTCAAAGCTCTCGGAAGGACCTGTCATTATCTCTGACCCTGCAGCCTCCAGTAGGAAGGGGTAAATATTCCTTGCCCTTGTGCAAAGGAACTACTCAGTTAGCTGTTTCTAACCCAAATCTCGTTGTTGTCTTCTAGTGACAGACACCACCCGGCTAGCCAAGCTAAAGCACTGAAAATGGAAGGGTGGGACATCTTCCAAAGCCTGCTGCTGCTTCTAAGCAGAACTGCGCTGTAGGTGGGGACACAGCAAGAGGACACGTCCAGGCCACGGTGGAACTGCAAGGCACCTGTCTGAGCCACACAACGAAGTCAGCGATTCCCAGTTGGAGACTGTTGCTCGACCAGTGACACAGCAGCTGGAGCGCTTCTGGTTGCTGCTGATGGGTTGCCGTGAATCAGCCAGGGATAGGAGCTATGAGAACGCCTGAAGCGATTTGAAGTTACCCGAAAGAAAGAAGAGAGGAGAGAAGAAGACAAGAGGGGAGGGAAGGGGAGGGAATAAAAGGAAGGGAGGGGAGGGGAAGGGAGGGGAGGGCAAGGGGAGGTAGGATAGATAGGATAGGCTAGGATAGGCTAGGATAGGATTGGGTAGGATAGGATAGGGTAGGGTAGGGTAGGATAGGGTAGGGTAGGATAGGGTAGGATAGGATAGGATAGGATGGGTAGGATAGGATAGGATAGGATAGGATAGGATAGGATAGGATAGGATAGGATAGGATAGGATAGGATAGGATAGGATAGGTAGGTAGGATAGCGTAGTGTAGCGTGTTAGAGGGGAGGGGAGCATAGGAGAGTATAGGGTAGTGTAGGGGATAGGAGTTTAGGGGAGTGTAGGGTAGGATACCGGAGGGGTGTAGGAGAGTGTAGGGGAGGGGGCATAGGGTAATGTAGGGTAGTGTAGCGAAGGGAGTGTAGGGTAGGATAGGGGAGGGGAGTGTAGGAGTGTGTAGGGTAGTATAGGGGAGGGGAGTGTAGCAGAGCGTAGGGACAGGGAGCATAGGGCAGGGGAGGGGAGGGGAGTGGAGGGGAGGGGAGGGGAGGGGAAGGGAGGCTAGGGGAGGGAGGCAAATGGGGGAGGGGAGGGGAGGCAAAGAGGGAGGGAGAGGCTGGAGGGGAGGGGAGGCAAAGAGGGGAGGGAGGGAGGGAGGGAGGGGAGGGGAGGGGAGGGGAGGGGAGGGGAGGGGAGGGGAGGGAGGGCAGGGGAGGGAGGGGAGGCAAAAAAAGGGGAGGGGAGCGGAGGGGAGGGGAGGGGAGTGCTACATAAATAAAATTGCCAAATACATGACATTTTGGATCTGGAGCCAAATCTTTTGTGTACATGTCCTCTCCCCCGTAGCCCCACGTGCTGTCCACGCACCCCGAATCTGTCATACTGTTGCCTCAGAAAGAACAGGGAGGCATAGGGGAGGGCAGGGGAGTGGAGGGAAGGGGAAAGAGGGGATGGGAGGGGTGGGGAGCGCTACCATCAATAAAATTGCCAAATACAATGAAGGAGCAGCAGAGCCTGCAACCTCCATTCCCCAACATCCTCCAACCACCCCCCACTGCTCCGTGGGAAATAGATAGAAGAATCAAGACTGAGGTTTAGCCTGGGATGGAGGTAGTGTGGCGAGGTGGTTTTCTGTTTGGTTGGTTGGTTGGTTGGTTGGTTGGTTGGTTTTAAAGTTTTCAAATTCTCACTGTCCTACTTTGTGATCAGTTGGCAATAAATTCAATTACTCTTCCCCAAGCCAAGTCTGTTTTGTCCATGAAGCCATCTTCCAGTCCTGAAATAAGAAAGGAAACAGACCTGCAAGCACCTGTTACACAAGTGCATGAAGAGTGACAAAGGAGGGTTTTGAGGCATGAAGTTACTGCAAGGATGCTCTGCTCTTTCCTCACTTCAGTATGAAAAGCATGGCACTAGTGGGTGGTCTGTGGTGGTAGTTGTTTTTTGTTGTTGTTTGATTGTTTGTTTTTTTGTTTTGTTTTGTCAGCTCCACCCCACAGTATTTTGCTTGTTCTACTAGTTTTGGTGTGCCCCCATTCCTTCCCTCAAGGTAAAACATCCCTGGGGCCATGACTTGCTGTTAGCAAACAGGATCTTGCAAAAGAGTGAAGTTAACATGGCACCACCTGCACTGGTGTATAAATAGCTCAAATATTTTCCCTCACTTTCCTGTATCTTTCCTGTAAATTGCTGGTCAGGAGATAACAAGTGGAGAAATTCAGGATAAGAGAGAGAAAGTTGTGTTTACTATTGCCCTGGAGTTTCTGTTGGTCTGGCCACGGAAATGGAGTACTCAAAATCCTCAGGCCACTCAGTTTATACCAGATTTATCCTAAAACTGCAGGATTTCTAGGCCCTTGGGATTCTTATCAATTAAAACATACTTTTTCACGCACAGAAGATGCAAAAAAGTGCGTCTCCTGCAGTATGCAGACAGAGCCAGTCCTGTCTCTTGATTCCTTCTGCCTTCTGCCTGAAGAGCAGCAGACAATCGAGTTCTCGTCTTCAGTAGCTACGGCCTTAACCAACTGTGCAGTCTGTCCATTCATCCACAGAGGAGGAAAAATAGCATGGAATAACTCCTCTCCTTTGTGCTAACAGAGGAGGGTACAGCTTCCTCACTCCAACCCCACCGAGGCAAAGCAGTCAGCAGTGCACGCCAGAGCCTCTGTCTCTTCCCCGTCTCCTGATGTGCAGCTGGATCACTCTCCCTTCTAGCCCCAGGATGGCTTTCAGCACACTCACAGAAGGGTCAGACTCACAGCTTGAGGACCCATCAGAAGAGGCTTTCACTCTTCTGCCACCACACCCCCTATACACATGCAATTTCACACATGCAAAGAGACACCATGGATTAGGGAGTTGCACAGAGAGGAGACCACACCCGTTTGCCTGCCTGCCTGCAGGTTGACACCAGTAGGGAGGTAATTCACCTCAGGAGTTTCCAGAGAGATGACAGAATATGGCCCTAGGCTCCTGCTGCTTCTTTCAGCCCTGACTCTTCAAATCCATAGGAACGGAAAGAAACATTCCCAGCCAAGTGCTGCATATCTTGAAGGTTGGAGAAGCCACAGCCTTCTGCTTCATTTCATTTTCAAGATCAAGCCCAATGTCACTCCCATAGAAGTAGTGGAAGCCATCTGGCTGGCTTGGCTTTCTCTCCAAAGAAGACCAAATGAGAGTTGGTCCCAGGTGAGGATGAGCCCTGACAGTTCCTGCATTTTGGTTCTCCTGCAGCCCACAAAGCTCTCACTGCCTTGCCTGAATTTTAACCCCTTTGGAACCAAATCTACAGATGATCTCTGTCAATCCAAAACAGCGCTTATTCACCATGTGAACAACAAATGCCTGGCATGGTTAACAGCACTTAGGTGCAAAGGTCAGATAGATGTAGCTGCATGTTACACATTTTTAGTCTGAATAGCACAATTTATCCTTTGACTCCATTTTGCTGTCATGTGGATATCAATTTGCAATCATTTGGTCTGTCCTCCCTTTGGTGGCTTCCGTGAGAAGAATCTAGAAGCTGCCCCCCGTTAGAGAACGGCTCCACTGCTGGCCAGAGCCAAGCCAAGAAACGATGTCGCTTGTTCCTCTGGGAGAGCATATTGAAGAAAGGAGGACAAAAGTAACAACAAAAAGCTGTTTCCCAGGGAGAAAGAGAGGAGAAGCAGCCCTGCAGCCCCCCAGGTGAGTGCAGCAGGAGGGCAGGAGGCAGCAGCAGTTCCCCTGCGGGCTGTGCAGGGAGAGGCCCCCGGTGGAGCAGGCTGTTCCCCTGCAGCCCATGGAGCAGATCTCCACGCTGCAGCCCCCCCGTGGGTGGAGGAGCCCCCGGTGGAGCAGGTGGATGTGGCCTGGAGGAGGCTGCGGCCCATGGAGAGCCCCCGCAGGGCAGGAGCAGGCCCCGGGCCGCAGCTGCAGCCCCCCCGTGGAGAGGAGCCCCCGCAGGAGCAGGGGGTCTGGGGGGAGCTGCCGCCCAGCCGTGGGGGACCCGTGCTGGAGCAGTTTGCTCCTGGGGGATGGATGGATGGATGGATGGAGCCCGTGGGACGGAGCCGTGTGGGAGCAGTGCTTGAGGAGCTGCTGCCTGTGGGCAGCCCCTGCAGGATCAGCTGGGGAAGGACGGCATCCCGTGGGAGGGACCCCACGGGGAGCAGGGGCAGGGAGGGACCCTGAGGGTCACTCTGCTGAGTCTGCTTTGCCCGTCACCATACTTGTTGAGCCATCGCCCTGTCCTTATCTCAGCCCTGGAGCCCTTGGCATCGTATTTTCTCCCCCTTTCCCTTTGAGGAGGGGGAGTTAGAGAGCGGCCGTGCTGGAACTCGGCTGCCCACCCGCTTCCAACCACCGCAGTTGCAAAGTCCTGGGAAAGATTTCTTTCAAGAAATTAAACAAGGTGTTTAACAAAGAAATGCAGAGTTTCCTTTTGAAGGCTTCCTGGAGAATTGGGCTTCTTTCCTATTCCCAGCTCAGAGGAAGGGAATTGTTGATTTCACCTTCTTTTTTCTTACATGGAAATCAAAGGTGAACTGCTTTACAAGGACGGGCAACGTCTCAGAATCAAGCTCTTTTGCTCTGTAGTCCTTTCGCAAGGAAAAGATTGATCACACACCTTCCTTCCACAGATGTAGGGGAGCAGAGAATAATTTGGGAACTACTCTAATTCAAGTCAGTTTGGGCATAGTGGTACTTCCCTAGCTGTTTCTGAGACAGACGCATTAGCAACAGAGAGTGTTGTGCCGTCACTGGGAGGCGCCTGCGGTGATGACTTCAGAAACAGAACGGAATTGTGTCACCACAGCACTGTGGCAACAGCTGCCTCCGTGCACGTTTAGCTGGGAGGCACAGAGAAGGGTGCTGGATGCGATGAAACCACGTGAGGATTTGTGCATCTCCCCTTGAGGTGCACAGGGAGGGACCATGCCCTTCTGTAAGTGTTTTGATGCTTGGCTGGGGAAAACAATGCGGTTTTGTTGTGAATGCTTCCTTGTAGTATTCTGTAGTTTGTGTCAAGTCCTTACAGAAGCCTCAAGGTTGGTACTTTGCTCAATGATGGAGCTGCACAGAGTGAGAACAGACCCAATGTACGGCTGAGGGCCTCTGCACGCTCTCTTCTTCCTACAGACGATCAACAAATAAGGGGAGACAGAGAAGAGTGTGCTGTGGTCCTCCCAGAGACC